TGATATCTTTCTGGTGTTCCATCCTTCCTTGAAGCCAGCCAATTATGGACTGAAATCTCTACAAACAGTGAGCTAAATAAACCTTTCCCCTTTAACATTGAGTGTTGGGTATTTTGTCTCAGCAACAACAGAAAAGTAACTAAGGCAGAATTTGGTACCAGAGAAGTGGGATCATTGCTGTGACTATTCCTGATCATGTGGTTCAGGAGCCTTTGGGACTAGCTTGTGGGAAGGGTTTGGAAAGGTAGGGAGATGCAGGCTGAAAAAGTAGAGTTAGAACGCCTTAGGCTGTATTTGATGGGAGATTCTGGTCAGAGCTCAGAAGACCAGAAGGCTGATAGAAATCCTGCCGGTAAAGACCAGACTGGGGAGGTTTCTGCTGGGAAGGACTGCATTGGCTGTTAGACTCCAGGCAATGTGTATTATACCTTGGCAGAAAGTTTGTTGCATTTTGCTTGTTGTCTAGAGACTTTGCCTGAGACTAAGATTAAGGGCAGTGGACTAATTAATACTGCAGAAGACATTTCAAGGCAGTTGAATGTTGAGGCAGTGGCATGGCTATTGTTGGGGGATTTTAGCCAGATTTATGTTGAGAATCAAGAGCAAAGAGCCTAGCATAATGATTCAAAACATGAGTTTGGCCAGAAAGGAAGCTCCAATAAAGTTGTAGCCTGCAAAGATGGAACGGAGGAGAAATGGGTCACTGAAAAGACTAGCAAGAAAAAGCCAAGTATTTCAGAAGAAAACAACAGAAAAGATGGCCTGAGGACAACACAAGAACCAACAGGACTCCAGCCTTTGCAGCCTCAGAGTTGCAAAGGTGAAACATTTTGAGAAGAGAGCCCCAGAGCACCATGTTCCAAAATGGCGGTGGCCTAGGGAAGTTGTTCCTTGGGATTTGGTTCAGACACTGGACCCCTACAGCCAAGAGAGAAGGGGAAAAAAGAAGCAGCAAGATATATCATGTACAGGTACAGATTCCCTATGATGAATATGATCATTATGTATGTCTAAAATGTACCAATAAATGTTTTGCTTAAAAAAAAACCCAACAAATGAAACACAAGGAGAGAAAGAGGAGGCAGGCAGGGAGGGAGGGAGGGAGAGAGAGAGAGAGAAAAAGAGAGAGGAAGCCTGGCTACTCCAGCTGGCAGCAGACCTTGGCATCATCCATGTGGTGCTGGTTTTAGGTGCATGCAGAATTCAAGTGTTATGGGGTCAGGAAGGCTCATACCCAGATTTCAGAAGAAGGCCTGGGGGTCAGGCAGTGTCCCCCTGAGAAGGCAGTCTGTGAAGCTGTGAGTGTGAAGCCGAAGGTGCAGTGGAGACCCCAGGAGTTTGGAGAAGCCAGGAACATGGATCATCTGAGGAAAACTGCAAGGAGGGAGCAGAGCTGGCCCAAGAGAGAAGCCGTGGGAGCTACACCCACTGGCAGTGAGGTAGAGTGACTCTGCTTGGGCAGAGTCACCCAAGCCCTTTGGAGTTCACAACTTGCCACAGATTTCCAGGGATGCTGGCAGTGGAACTGTGGGATTTCATGTTTACCCTGCTGGATTTTGGACTTGCTTTGTTCCCATTCCTTGTTATCCTCCATTTGTAACCTTTGGAATGGAACTGTCTATTTTGTGCCATTGAATGTTGGAAGTGTTTAACTTTGTTTTCATTTGTACAGGAGCTTGCAGCTAAGGGTTTACCTTGGGATTTGGACTTTTCAGCAATGCTAAAACTGTTAGGACTTTGGCAACTCTTAGAGATGGACAAAATGTCTTTTGCATAAAGGGATATACATGAGTCTTTGCAAGGCCAGGGGCAGAATGTTATGGCTTATGTCTAGATGTCCCCCAAGCCTCATGCAGTCATAAGTGGGGCTTTTTTTTAGGGGTAGGTTGATCTAGACTGTGATGCTGGAATTGCTTCATGCTTCAATGCCAGGCTCAAGGGCACTAGGATTAAGGCTGTGAGTGCTACCCACCCTAAGGAGCCTGGATAAGGTATAAGGGATAGAAAGAGCTGTGGTTGTCCTTTGCTTGCTTTTGCTGTCTTCTGCTTGCCACAAACTGTTTCTCCTCTTTGATGCCTGTCTGCAATGCCACCCTGCTTTGGAGCCAGCCGATTATGGACTGAAACCTCTACAAACTGGGAGCCAAATAAACTTTTCTTCCTTTAACTTTAGGTGTTAGGTATTTTGTCTCAGCAAGAAAAGTAACTAAGACATATGTGTATGTGACAATCAGGGTTTCTTCATTGAAGTCAATATTGTTTTCAGTATGGGCAGGAGAGGCAATTTTAATGAGTCAAAACCGCCAAAGATACGATGTTTCTAGTTAATATAAAAGTTTTGTTTGTTCCCCAGGCAAAGTAAAATTACAATGAGCTATCACCTTACATCTGTTAGAATGGCTATTATTAAAAAAGAAAATAAACGGTGAGAATGTGGAGAAAAAAGAACTTTTGTAAACTGTTGGTGGAAATGCAAATTACTATGGCTGTTTTGGAAAACAGCATAGTGGTTGCTCAGAGAACTACTGTAAATCCACTAAATCCATATATCCAGCAACCCAACTTCTGTGTATATATCCAAAGGAACTAAAATCTGTGTTCCAAGAGGTGTCAGGACTCTCAGGCTTATCCCAGCACTAGTTACAAAATAGCCGAGTGGCTAGCAACAAACAAATGGATACACTTAGAAAAGAAACACTGTCATTTGCAACAATGTATCTGAAATCTAGAGATTATGCTAGGTGAAATAAGCCAGACACAGAAACAAATGTATCAGAACCTCATTTGAACTAGGGAATTAAAAAAAGTCAAACTCTTAGAAGTACAAAGCAGAATAGTGGTTACCAGAGGCTGAGGGCAGGAGTGGATGGGCAGGGAAAGGTTGGGTATTGGGTACAAAGTTTTAGTCAAGAGGAATAAGTTTTGGTGATCTACTGTGCAGTTAGTCATAATGTATTGAATAGCTCCAAATTGTTCAGTGGATATTATTTATTTTTGAGGTGGGATCTCGCTATTCAGTTCAGGCTGGTCTTGAACTCAGTATGCATCCCCGGCTGGCCTCGAACTCCCTTTGATCCTCCTGTCTCAGCCTCCAAGTGCTGGGATTACAGGTTTATGCCACCACTCCTAGCTGTTCAGTACAGTTTAAATGCTTTCACTACAAAGAAGTGAGGCGACAGATATGTTAATTAGTCTGCCTGTTCCACAATGTACTCATGCATTGAAACATTACGTTGTACCCCACAAATATATACATTTATTTATTAATTGAAAATAAAAATAAACCAGGTGCCTGGCAAATCCTGTAATCCCAGCTGCTCGGGAGACTAAGGCAGCAGAATTACAAATTTGAGGCCAGCCTGGACAATTTAGTGAGATCCTGTTTCAAAATTTAAAAAGGGTCAGGGATATAGCTCTGTGGCAGAGCGCTTACCTAGCCTTCACTGAGGCCCTTAGCGACCCTCAGTATCTACAAAAATAAACAAAATTTTGTTCTATGAGGCAATCGGCATTGGGGTTAATGAAAGTCTCTGCCTTCCAGAAACTGCACCCCCAGGGTATACAGTATAGATAGTCCTAAAGCATTTACGATAAGAACCATGATAATATGTGTAAATTTGCTTTAGGCTCACAAAGATGGGAAGAAGTGATTACATTCCAGAGATTGTGCCTTCAGAAGACAATGAAAGATTTTCAAGAATGACTAAGAATGGGGGGGGGGCGTGGTGGTAGCTAGCCAGTAGTCCCAACTACTCCAGAGGCTGAGGCAGGAGGGTGGCTTGAGCTCAGGAGTTCAACGACAGACCCCGTCTCATTAAAAAACAAAGAAAAGAGTCGGGCCTGTTGGTGCATGCGTGTAGTCTCAGCACTCTGGGAGGCTGAGACAGGAGGATGGAAAATTCGAGCTCAGCCTAGGCAATTTAGGGACTTAGCAAGATCCTGTCTCAAAAAATGGGTGGGGCTCTGGAATATAACTCAGTTTGAAGACCCTGAATTCAATCCCCATTATACCACAAAAAACCGCGGGGTGGGGGGAGGCTAAAAATTGTCATTCCAATCAAATAAGTGGACAATGAGAGTATCCTAACCTTAGGGAACAGCGCGACCATCTCTTACACCTAGAAACACGAAGCTGCAGAAAGATGTTTAAAAAGGGGTCGCAGCAAATCAAACTTTAAACCGCGAAGTTCTACATGAACTGCACATTAGAATGACCCGGGCAATGAAAAAATCCGGATGTCTAGTCCTCACGCCAGACCAATGACATCTGACTCTGGGGGTAGAATCCATGGGCCTAAGGTTTTTTGTTCGTTCGTTTTAAAGCCCCTGGGCGAGACTAAAGTGCAGTCAAGGTTGAGAATCACGGTTTGAAAGCAGGTGCAAAATATTTTAAGTATAGCTTTTGAGGGGGGAAAAGGTGGCGTAGGCACACAGGAACTGAAAGCCCTTGAGAGTGGGTCAGGGCGGCTACTGTAAGAGCAGATACAAAAACCTAGAGCCCGCAGCAGAGGATTTCAGGACTTTCAGTGTTGGACTCACGGCATTTGGGGAACAGTAACCAGGCCAGCATATATCCAGTTCTATCAAAATTAAACTAGCAGGGTGGCAGCCCTGCCCCTGTCCCTGGTCAGGTTCTCGCGCACATTTTCCCCCAGTTTGAAAAAAAATGACGGCAACGTTCCCTCTCTCATGCAAACGTCTCGGACATCTGTGGGAGGAGCAGAGGTCTGAGAAACCAAAGGCGCGCTGCCACTAAATTTTTCTTCGTGATTCCAGAAAAACTCAGGAACTGCCAGAGGGGCCCTCCCGGCTCGGGTCCGAGCCCCACTTAGGGAGCCGTGACCGATTCTTCGGGGCGAACCGTGGTCTTTAGGACGCCGCGGCAGGGGGGAGGGGGCGAGGGTAGGGCGGCTCGCTCAGCCCTCACCCCGGTTTCCGGCGGCGCGGGGCTCCCTTTTCCGCTCTCCCGCCCACGCGCCGGCCCTGCCCCACCCCACTCCCACGCGCCCCGCGAACTACCGCGCAGGAAAGCGCACAGAACCGTCAGCGGTCGCTATCGGAAGGCACCCTGCTGGTTCCCCTTCCGCTCCACCCAAGGACTTCCGCTTTGAGCCGTCAATATGGACGCGGCGGCAGTCGGGCGGAGCGCCCTCTGAACAGCCACGGAGGCGCTGCTTCTATGCGGCTGCAGTCGCGCTTCCCCGCCCCCCTCGCCTCCCCCCCTCTCCCCCCAGCTCCTCGCTCTGGTCCCTGGGGCCCGCAGGCTCAGCGCTACATGGGGGCGGGCCTCTGCGGCCAGCGCTCGGTTTCCTGTTTAGAGGCTGCGGAGCCGTAGGCGGCGGCGTCTCAGCCCTGCGCCCGCTTCGGCGCGGCGACCGAGAGCCCGGGAGGCTCAAGGGCTCCGTTTTGTGCCGCTGTGCCGAACCTGGCTCTGCGCCGCCATGGCTCCAGTGCAGCTGGAGAACCACCAGCTGGTCCCGCCCGGAGGCGGCGGCGGAGGTAGCAGCGGCCCCGCGTCAGCCCCAGCTCCTCCTCCCGCTGGAGCCGCCGTGGCGGCAGCCGCCGCGGCTGCGGCCAGCCCTGGCTACCGACTGAGCACTCTCATCGAATTTCTGCTGCACCGGGCCTACTCTGAGCTCATGGTGTTGACGGATCTGTAAGTGCCGCGAAAGCCATGCCGGCTCCCCAGCCCCCCCTTCCCGCCCAGCCCGCAGAGAGAGGGTTGCGCCTCTCTCTCCCCAAGAGGCTGCCGTTTTCTCCCCTGGGCTGCTTAATCTAGAATTTCGGAACTCCTGGGGTGCGGGGAGGTGGAGGAGAAGCTTTGAATTGAGGGTCTTGCCGGCGATGAAGCAACCGAGACTTGCTGATTTTGCGCGTTGTTACACTTTCATTGAAGATCGTCTTTGGGATTTTTAAGTTCCCCGCAGAAAACTCTTATTAATTTCTTGGCTGGAAGCATTTTAGCCCAAAGCCCAAAATTAGAGTTGAGAGTTTAGAAACGCGTAAGATTTGAACTTAAAAAAATCCCAAAGACGGGAAATCCGTTTTACAGCCTCAACAATGTATTCGAAATGTAGGTAATAATTACTTCTGTTTGCACGCAGGAAACAATGTATAAAATAGACCAACATTTTAGATTCTTAGTATGTTTGAAACGTTTGAGAGTGAAGTCTTCATGAATTTAGTGAACGTAAAAAATTTTCTGTAACCTCCCGGCTGTCATTTCAATCACCTAGGTACCTGTGAAATGCCTTCGGTCATGATTAGGGTGTTAATCCCTTCAGTCTAGGATCAGAATGTACTGTAAGGATTTTGTGTGTGTTGAAAAAGCGCTATAAAGTTTTGAGGCTCAGTTTTACGTCTTGTAATCTAGATTGACAAAAAGTAAGCCCGTATTCGTTTTGATCTAGATTAGTTTTTAATCTTTTATCCATTGTAAGACTTCAGAGTTTTCACTTGAAATAAATACACTAGAATGCAGATCTTAGGTTGTACAGTGTCACAGTCATTTGTTATTAGAGACTTAAAGTATTGATTTGCACATGACTAAAAGAATTAAAGTTCCACTTACTCTTGCAAAGCATCATTCTCAGTTTTGATGTACTATACTTGAGACAGAAATAGGTGAAGTTAAAGAAGCCTCCCCTCCCATCTAATGATACATGTAAATAGCTGTCATGATTAGAAACATTGTAATAGTATACTTCTGAAACTTTTGTTGGGTTTAATAAAAATCCAAGCATATCCATGAGAAAGTTTCATGTATGTGAAGATCACCTGGCCTATGTACAGCTGTGGAAAACAAAGACTGTTGCTGTCAGTGTTTGTGTGGTTTATTTTTCTGTACAGGATTTGTAGAAGTTTCTTGAATTTATAGTGTATTCTTTTTACTGTTTAGGACTTGGTTTATGACGAGCAAAACGTCTGGTTTATTGCTGTAGAATAAGTACATATAGTCTCACACCCTTTGTGTGATGATTCCCATGCATGTGTCTCCAACACAGACCTCTCTGAGTTCCACTCATGTCCACATGCCTACATTTCAGTATCAAATTTCAACATACCAAGGCCAAATCACCTCTCCACCTCAAAACCTTCTTTCTTATCACTGTGAGTACTATCTTCATCCTTCCTGTTGTTGCGAAGACTATTTTGAAGTAATTCCTGGCTGGCTTCTCTTCACATCCCACACCCAGTGTGCATCAGCAAGTCTAGTCATCTCTGACTTCTGAGTCTGACTACTTCTCAACGCTTCCACCAATTGGTGGTCCAATCCACCCCATCCTTATAATCTACTCGTTGGCATTGCTACTGCTACCTTCCCCTTTGCTCCTCTCTGCTTTCTTCTCCGTGAAATAGCCAAGACAATCCTTTTAAAACTTCTCTGCTCAGAATGCTCCAGTGGTTCCCCATCATCTCACTTAGCTTAAAAAGTTTTTGTAATCACCTATATATTGAATGGCTATACGATTTATAGTTCAAACCAGGACACTTTTGAGCATAAAAAGGTGCTGCTGATAATTAATGTCTGAGTAACAAATATAAAACCAAGACTGTCTTGTGCAAACCAGGACATGTGGTTATTTTATTTTTAAGGTCCTACGTAATCTGTACCTTCTCTCCCTTGCCTCTTTAATTCGTCCCCACACTCTTGCTTATTCTGTTTAGTCTGCACTAGCCTTCTTGATACTTCCCGGTAGTCCTGACACACTCCCACCTTGGAGCTTTTTCTCTTCCGAAAATCTGTGGGGTTTGCCTTTGTGTGTGTGTGTGTCTTAGGTCATGTATAACTTAGCAGAAAGACTTTTTTTAACCACTCATAAAATAGTACTCTGCCCCTTCACGATATCCTTCTTTCTTGGTGCTTATTTTTCTCTACAGGACTTACTGCTATTTGACATTATTAGTATATTGTCATTGTCCCCCCATTGCTGGAATGTAAGCTCCAGGAGGACAAGGATTTCTCTTTGCTGATATCCCCAGGCCTAGAACAATGCCTGGTACATACTCTGGGGTTAAGTATTTATTGATTTAGTACATGAATGAGTGAATATTTAGAATTGTCACTGTAAACCATGGAGAAAGTCACTGTTGCTCTTGATACAAAGGTGTGTAACTTTTCATTTTTGATTTGTGGTAACCAAAATTAGGAACTTAACATGAAAGTTCCTAAATAGTGTGTTTTCCCTTGTTCCAGGTGGAAGCTGTCGAGATTAATGTGTTACGTAGAACCAGTGTTTTAGTATGCTCCATAAGAGTCTTTAAGGACTCGGTTGGTTACTTATTTCTGCATCACTAGATGTTTGTGAACTATTGAGGGTGAGAAGGTCAGCCTTGGCAATTTAGGTGGTTTGGTTTTGGCCCCAGATTTGTGGCTTTTTCCTTCTGCTTGTCTACCCTCTCCTTTCCCTAACACATATACTTACATATTAAAGCTTTCTCTCTGCTTTGACTTTTTTTTTTCTTTTTGAATGAGGGGATTGACCTTGCCCTTGTGAGGCAGGCAGCGGCACCACTGAGCTAAATCCCCACCTGCTTTGACTTTTTAGGCACTTAGATTCTACTCTCTAATCTCTTCTAGTTAAAATCGGAAAATGCTAGCATCTCAGTCATGTAAACTTGTCATCCAATTTTAACATAATACATTTTTGTGCCTTCTTCCAACATTTGCATTTTAGGACTTTTACCCCAAATGGTGGAATTTAGGAATTTAAAATAGGTTAGAAGATACGGGAGTAAAGGGGAGGCAAGCAGAAAAGCCTGTCCTTTGTCCCCCAAATGATAGTGCTTCTGATGTGAGACCATCCTTTTAGGATCTCTAGGACAGGTGAGAGGAGCTGGAACAGCGGTTCCTGTTCTTTGTACCCCCAAAGGATCCTCTCTCCCCCCCTCCCTATCCTCACAAGCAACTAACCCTTCTCATTTTCTCTCTCCCTTGAGGATAGGGTCATGGCTTCTTAAGGAGTGTTCTCAGGTGCTTTTGCATGTGGAGGAATTTAGCAGTGGCTGCTTTCATTTGTAGTCTTCTAATAAGGTCTTAATTTCTGTTTTATCCTTTTTCTGGCCCTTTCAGTTCTTGCCTAGTTCTCTTTATCATTCTGATCATAGCTTGAGCTCCCATCTCACTGTCTTTCGTGAAAATAGCAGGAAGCCAGGGCTCGTTTTAATAGTTTCCTCTCTTGGTACTTTGAACCTTTGGAAGTGGGTTTAGTTTTTCTGATCCTGTGGATCATGGGTGGGAGAGCATCCATGGGGCTGAGTGTATTCCTCAAGAGCTGCTAGATGTGGAGCAAGCATGAGAGTTGTTCAGGCCATTGAATATTGAATCTTAGATCATGGGTTAACAGAATGTAGCAATTCAGTAGGTAGATTAGGACCTGTCTAAGCATCAGTAGATATGAGTGTGTTAAACAGTCTAATTTATCGGGGAAGAAGTTGACATTAGTTGCTGGCTGTCAATACTGGAACACTAGCAAAAATAAGTCAAAACACTACTGTGACTGTTTCAAACTAATAACAAATCTTTTCATCTAACCACCATGCAACAACATCATAAAACCCTTGATCAGCACTGGCCTGTTCTTGTGCTTAGCTTCCAGTTTTGCCCACTCCAACAAAGCACATAGAGATTATTGCTTAGAACCGGAGTACCCATTAGGTACAGGGAGTCTAGCAACCAAGTATTACTCCTATATCTATGATCATTTTGGTCTTAATATCTCTGATTCTCTATGATATTCATAATATGAGGATGAGAGATTTTGGCTTTTTAAAATGTTTGAGGTTGATATGCTTTCTGAAGCATTTTGAATGGAGAGAGATTGAGAGAAATGTCCCTTTGTTGGTTTTCCCCTTACAACCATATTGCTGGGAACTCATAAGTGCAAAAAATGTGTAGCCACATGAGCTTGTGGTCGCTGTGTACTCAATTTCTCTGGGTATTAGTAGAGATATTAATAGATATTAATAGAGTCAGAGTAAAGACCATTATCACATTTTGATGAAAGTCTGCATATACTTAATCAGTTTTTTTTCTTCTTAGATTGCCAAGGAAATCTGATGTGGAAAGGTGAGTATGAAAATATCTTAATCTGTCTCTTTGATTTTTATTGATCTATCTGTGAGTATGGGTGTGTGGGTATTGCTGATACAGGGCCACGTGCTTAGGGAGTACTGGGACATGTAATTTTCTCATTCTTGGCTATACTTAGGTGTGAGATCAGTTTCAGATTTTCTGTTCTGCAAATCTCTATTGAGTGACCAGTTCAAGTTCCTCAGGGGAGTGGGAAGATATAGAAGATACAGAAAATATGGTCCATTATAAAAGAAGCTCAGAAGCAGACTGGCTTTAAAAAGGTGGCTGCTAATTTACCATTTGCTGTAAGATGCTATTGGATATCTTTAGAGAATTGACATTTGCTTCCTGCTATTCCTGTTTTATAGCTGAGAAAATTCTGGTTCAATTGTAGTTTGGGGCTTAAGATTTAACACTAGTATGTTCCCATAGGATAAAGGAATAAGATAAATTAAGGTTTCAAATAAATCACGTGATGGGGAATTTAAAAAAAATTTTGGTATGGGGATTGAACTCAGAGCCTTTGCATAGAGCTACATCCCTAGCCCTTTTATTTTTTAATTTTTTATTTTGAGACAGGGTCTTGCTAAGTCACCACATTGCCTAGGCTGGCCTCAAACTTGCAATCCTCTTGCCTCAGTCCGTATCTAGGATTACAGGTGGGTGCCACAGCACCAGGCCTGATTGTGATTTAAGTTGTGTCTAGTACAGATTATATGACTGTATCTTTGATATTACTTATACTTCTTGGTTGATTTTCTTTTAATTCCAAGTCACTAGGGAGGTGTTTAGTATTTATTAATGGCTCCACTGCACTGGTAACCTCAAGTGCCCTTTTTGATAGATCAAAAAGAGAGGCAGAAGAGACAGTTGAAGGTTACCTGTGCTATGGTTTGGCTCGTCAATTTTAAAGGATACGTAAGTCAGATTTGCTGTGTCCACTTTGGATAGGAAGGATATTGGGCTTTTAGAAAATTGACTCATGCTTCCTATCACTTGAGGAAACTCTGTTACAATAATTTACAAAGAGAAATCATCCTATTTCTGGTAGAGGTGCATATTTAGGAAACCAAATCAATAATATATAAAGATGGGGCAGAGACCTCCCATCCTCTAAATCTGTTGCTGAGTCAATGACAGTACTGAAACTCCTTGCCTTGAGGAGGCTGCCAGATCTCCCCTTCTTCTGGAGGTGGAACCTCGGGCCTAGTACATGCTATGCAAGTGCTTGATGACCCAGCTACACCCCTAGCCCTGCCAGAACTTAATGTTCATTCAACACTTCTGCTGTGCCTCAGTCTTGCCTGTGATGCTCTGCTTGTTTTCTCATAATCCGTCCCAGACACTGGTAAAGACTCCTGACTGTGCCCTTGAATTTTCTCTTTGTAGAACCACTTACCGTATTGTTGGCTGATCCTAAGCCACTCAGGTTGTTTGTGGACTCGAGAAAAAAAAACTCCACTCTGTAGCCTTCATTTGGGATTGTACTTTAACAAAAAATTTGGTGCATTTCTTCATAATGGTGGTACTGGTGAGATGCAGAAATGTGGGTTGGGTCTGTAGGTCATTGAAAAGCCGTATTGATTTAGGTCAGAGTCTACTTGGAGGGAGGTTGGTGTTTTGCTAGGTCCTGTTGTTAGTCTTAGCATGTTGAATTTTTTCCCCAGTGTCTTAAGGTAAATCATGAAAGGTACCAAAAGTTTTGTAGCTGCCACGAGGGTAAGAGGTCTAGCTAATACACTGACAATATAAAGCTTTTGTGAAGCTTTTAAGGCTTTATGAGATGGTAAAAATACTGATGAGTATTGGGAGAAAAAACATGGAAGTGGACATAGCATAAAAATAGATATAGACAGACCTTTTATTTTTAGTGCTCATCATATTTCCCTTAACTTGGCTTAGATAATTTAATGTATTGAAGTTTGTCACTGAGATTCATTTGATAAAGGTTGCCCAATTAAATTCTTTAATTATGCAGTTTAAAAGATTGTGCTCTTGAAAGATGGGAAGTGAACCCTTGCTTTTGTAGAAAGAATATAGTGTCAAATTTTGGTAAAGATATATTTCAATACCCTTCTCTTACCAAAAGGCTTATTAATTACCTACTAATTTCAGTTATGAAAATCATATTTCATTACTCCTAATTTGGTCCACTCTGTGACCCAGGTAACTTCCGTCATATATCCATGAATTTAAGTGTATTTTAATAAAACAACTTTTAATTACAATATGAAATTAATTGAAAAATATGATTGACTGGGCCGGGGATTTAGCTCAGTAGCGCTGCTCCTGCCTCGCAAGCTCAAGGTCCTGAGTTCGATCCCCAGTACTCGCCCCCCCAAAAATATGATTCACTGCTAAAACATACTTTTGAGGTAAAAATAAAGCATATGCAGATGATATATAAAATGTGATAATACATTTAGATAAATATTTTTGGATTCATTTTATTGTAGTTGTAAAGGAGGATTGATTTTCTTATCACAAATGAAATAAATTGTGAAATATTCTTTCTAATATGTTGCTTCACTAAAAATTGCTTTATAGGAAAATAGAAATAGTACAGTTTGCTAGCCGGACACGTCAACTCTTCGTTCGATTATTAGCTTTAGTGAAGTGGGCTAATAATGCTGACAAAGTGGAAAAATGTGCGGTGAGTTGAACTTTTGATTTTACTTTGTTTAGAATAACTTTCTGAGCGTTATAATAGAAAGTTTCTAATTTTAGCTTTACTACCTATCTGTTTAAATGACATTACTTATGAGTAATCATTTCTGTATGATAATGTAGAATGTATTTCTGTGGAAACCTAGTATATGTTTATGGACATGATCAGAAAGAAGAGTAGGAGATATCTGGAGACATCATTACGTGAGGAGACTATGAGACTGGAACTAAAGAAGTGACATGGTTAGGTTAAAAATTGTATGGGTCCTTAGAATTTGTAAGGTTCTCCCTTAAATTTTGCTTGTTGATTCTTGACGTCCTTCTGAAAATGGTAGAGTTGATATTTTCTTCCTGTTTCACAGATGAGACGATAAAGTTCCTAGAAATTACCTGGCTTCTTCAAGGTCACAGGGCTGATAACAGACTTTATCTGCTCATTTGTTTATTCATCTACTCAAGTCTGCAAAGCTCTGTTGAATTCAGGTTATAGGGCATGGTGGATGGAGACTTGAATAACACATAGTCCCTTGCCTTCAAGAAGCCCATAGTTGTGACTATTGAATTACTATTTTGAATTCTAAGGAGTGACATGTAGTGAAGTATACCAAAAATCCTGAAATCTACCCCCACTCCACAGGTTTTAGTTATGTTCAGGAAGCATTAAGGAGAACTATCAGTAGGGATCCCGTGAGAGCTCATTGAGCTTGTCACTTGGGGAGGATAACAGTGTGGTGGTAATAGATAAGGCACACTCTTGCTCCTGTTTTACTTAAGTTGCTCCTAATGAGGAGGATGGAGTTCAAACAGTAGAGGGTAGTGTGATGAATGAAGTTCATATTGGAAAGGATAGAGTGATTATCTTAAAATGAATAAAGTGTTGAAATAATGAGAACATTTAGCTACTTGAATTGAGGTCAGCTCTCCAGGCCCAACTCTACAATGCTGAGTAAACTTCTAGCTGCTATCACTTATGTTTCCGAAGTTGGGGGTTAAGTGGGGAGATTCTCTAAGCCCAGCAGTGATGCTCAAATTCCTTTTTAAATTTAATTATGTAATAACATATAGAAGTTTTACCAGTTTTTATAGGTTAAAGCAGAAAAATAACTTTACGTTGGTTAAATTATATTTAAGGGATTTTTTTTTTTTTTTTGTACCGGGGATCGAACTTGGGACCTTGCGCTTATGAGGCAAGCAGTGGGACCACTCAGCTAATTCCCTGGGCCATAAGGGATTTTTTAATTCTCTAAAGTTCATGAGGCTTCCTGGAAAAATTAAATTTAGTAGCTACCTAATATAGAGGTGCCATAATAAAATTATTTTTGGCACTCTAATGAGCTAATTTCAAAATATTTTTGTAGCAATTTTTATATTTACAAATCTATGAGGGTTTGCTTGTTCCATAAAATTTGACTTAGGAAAGAAATCTATGACACAGTGTGTCTGCACATGATTTTCCTGACATCTCACTTCAATTTTAGCTTACTATGTTTGCTTAGCCTCTGTTTCACTAGATTCCCTTTATCATTAGACATAGAGCCTATGTGAAAGTGCCCAAAATGAAAGGAAAAAGGCTATGAAGAAGTTGAGAAGTATACATTTTTTTGAAATTGAAGAAAGCCCCTAATTTTTAAACTTTTAAAAAATTGATTAAATTTATTGGTACATTTTAGATATACATAATGATCACTTTCATCATAGGGAATTTGTACCTGTACATGATAGATCTTGGTTTTTCTTTTTCCCATTCCCCTCCCCTCCCTTCAACACTTCTTCCTCTCTTTATTTACAAAAGCTTTGAAAGAAACCCTAATTTTAATTGATGCTATGCACAATTCCAACCCTGACAGCTAAGCCAATAGCAGGGCTGGAAGAATTCTATAAGACGTATCGGTATGCAGCCAAATATTTTCTATCTTTGAGTAGGCTGATATCCTTCTATATAACATTGACCAAAGGTTTAGAGGGAGAATATTTTGTACCCTATATTAAGTTTTCTTTATGGGAGGAAGAGTTTTTGTTTACTCATCTATTTGTCTGTTGATGTGATAGGGAAATTAAAGTTTGTAAACAGTCTTTTGTATACTGTAGAACATCACTGAAACAATAGTTTTCATTATAAATATTAATGAACAGGCTTAATTCCAAGTTTAAATGAAAGTTTACAATTCACTTCATTGTTTTGGAAATTTGGGCACCAAGTTTAATGAACCTCTTTTGGCTGAAATGGAGACGCATGGTATAGTATTTCTGAAATGCCTAAGATTTCTTTTTAATAATTAGTTAAGTTGAGGTAATGTTTTATTAAAGATGTTCAAACTTTTAGTAAGAAGTTAGCTATTCTGGAGTATATCAAAGCCAAGTGTTTAGTTTTTTTCAAATTTGATGGTAAATACTTAATTATACGTCGAGTATTTAAATCATCTGGTAGTGCTCAGTTATATGTTTCAGTACCATAATATCAAGTAAAATTGGAAACTTTTTTTTTTTGGTACTGGGGATCAAACTCAGGACCTTGCGCTTGGGAGGCAGGTGGCACGGCATGGAAACTCTTGGTTTCCTCCTTTTTTTCTTTGAGACAGAGTGTAACGACTATAGTCTAGGCTGGCCTTGAACTTACCATCCTCCTGCCTCAGCCTCCCGAGTGCTGGGATCACAAGCGTGCGGCACCATGCCTGGCCGTTTAACAGTCTTCTATTCATTTTCTGAATTGACTACTCACATAAGTCATTTTCTAAATAAAGTTCCAAATTGAACTTGCATAAAATTCCAGTATTTTTGTTTGAATACAGACACAGAAGTGTTTGTGTCAGGGATAAAGTCAATTAACTGGACAATTAAAGAATTGTTCATATTTTGACACTTATGTTCTCAATTTAGTGATTATATAACTAGTCTCATTAGAGGTTCTTAATAGATAGTGATCTTTGCCATGCTAGACATATTATGTGTGTAGCTGAGTGTGTAACTGCAGTTTATAGAACTCTAATGGTAAAATAGCGCACGTGTTTTGTCTAAGCAAAAGAGAAAATCTTATTCTCCTTTAGTTCTCCCCCAACAGCTTTATTAAGATATAATTCAGGGCCAGGGATTTAGCTCAGTGGTTCTGCCGCCTGCTTCACAGGCGCAAGGACCTGAGTTTGATCCCCGGTACAAAAAAAAAAAAAAAAAAAGATGTAATTCATGTAATATACAGCTCGACCATTTAAAGTGTACAATTCAGTAGTTTTTGTTACATTCACAGATTTGTGCAACCATCACTGCAGTCAGTTTTAGAATGTTTTTATCACCCCAAAAAGAAAAGCTATCAACACCCTCCCCAGCTCACCTTTAGCCTCAGGCAGCCACTAATCTGCTTTCTGTCTTTATGGATTTGCTTGTTTTGCATATTTCATATAAATGGAATCATATTACATACGTTCCTTTTTCTTGGCTTTTTTATGTTTTCAGTGTCTACTCATTGTAGCATATATTAGTACTTTGTGCCTTTTTTTGGCTGAATTGCATGGATGATAATACTACATTTTGTTTTTATCTGTTCATTGGTTAACAGGGGTTTGGGTGGTTTTCAGTTTGAGGCTATTATGAATAATGTTGCTGTAAATAGTCATGTGCAAGTTTCTGCATGAATGTGTGCTTGTATTTGTTTTGAGTGCATACTGAGGGATAGAGCAGCTGTGTCACATGATAATTCTATTTTTAATCATTTGAGGAAAATGCCAGACTGTTTTCTGAAGTGGTTGTACCATTTTACATTCTCGCTAGCATTGTATGAAGGTTCCGATTTCTCCACATCAATGCCAACACTTGATATTTGACTTTTTGAGTGTAACCACCGTAGCACATGTGCAGTGATATCTCACTGTGGTCTTGGTATCCATTTTCCTGAAGGCTGGTGATGTTGAACATCTTTTCCTGTGTTTATTGGCTGGCCATCTATCTATCTTCTTTAGAGAAATGTCTATTTGGTGCCAGTTGAATTCTGAAGGGGACTATTGTTAACCATATTAATAGTATGTGAATACTAAAAGAGCATGATGATTGTTAGAGACCTAATGGTTCACTAATAAATTACTCAGAACTAAAGTTTTATCTTTATTAATTAGATTTCTAAGTCAAAGGAATGTAGCTGAAGCTAGTGTATTTAGAGTTGAGCAGTTCTATTATTGATTACCCATGTTTAGGATGGAGCAGTGTGGTCTGGATAAACTGGTGTCCCAATAGGATTGATGCAGACCTTCCCACAGGGAAGTCTCTGGGATCTTGACTTTGATTTGTTAAGCATTTTTACAGTGACTTGAGAGAAGGAACTCTTAGTATGACCTAAATGTGAGTGAAAGCCAGTTCAGAAGTTGAGTGTTATCGCTTCTCGGCCTTTTGGCTAAGATCAAATGCAGAAGTTGAGTGTTAGCAGGGTCATGGGTGCTAAAAACTAGTATTGGTGGCATTGATAGAAATCTACTGTACTGGCCATAGGCGGTAACATTTCTACTGACTTATGCTGCATAGTGGTCTAACTAAGGAAAAACATATGTTTGGTTCCATCCAACTTCTCTGATTATTGGCCATTTTTCTTTGGGCAGGTGTCTTCACCTAAACTTCAACTTTTTCAACTCTAAGGTGATAGTAATTACCTGGCTTTATTTCCTAGAGTTGTAAAAATCAGGTAACAGTACAACTGGAAATAGGAAACTAAGAAAATGTAGAGCATATTGTGTTCATGATGTGGTATTAATTCTGGGTGCTGTGTTGTGTTTGTTTGTTTATTTGTTTTTCTTTGAGACAGGGTCTTGCTATGTAGCCCAGGCTGACCTCAAACTCGTGGCAATCCTCCTGCCTCAGCCTCCCAAGTGCTGGGATTATAGGCATGTGCCACTATACCCAGTGGTGCTATGTTTTAAGTTGGCCATTGACAACTTGTTTGAAAGACATGAGAGGGGACTTTTAGGTATGGTTCTAGAAGAGAACCAGAAGATAAAAGTTTCAAGGAGGTGTTTTTTTTTATAATGAATAATGAAAATCTTTTTATTTATTTATTTTTTAAGTTTTTAACATTTTCATATTTTATTGGTACATTTTAGGTATATAATGACATTCATCATTAGAAATTTGCACCTTTACGTAATCTCTCTTGGTTCTTATTTTTTCCCTCAAGGAGGTGGTTTTTAGCTCCATGATGAGCTCTAGTTCTGGTAGTTCAGGCATCCTTCTGAAATGCATTATGTAGAAAACTGATAGAAAGGATTTCTGTGTTGGGCATGAAATTGCCCCATATCTCATAATGGGCAGCATTTATTGAGTGTTGCCTGTGTTTTAAAGGTTTTATTTGCATTAAATCTTAATCCCCCAGAACAACTTTATAAGATTGGGAATCATTATCTCCATTTTACAGTTGAAAAACATTGAGGCACAGAGAGATTAAGTAACTTCCCCACAGTTATGGGGCCAGTCAGTTGCAGAGTTAAAATTGAGACCAAGGCAATCTAGTTCCAGGATCTATGCTTTTGACTACTTCATTACCAACCAACTCTGGAAATTGTTAAAAGTAAAAAACATTTTATTCTGTTTACTTTTCCTAACTTGTAGCATGTACTGTATATGTAATGTCAAGGAGAAGTGGATTAGAAAACATTTTACTTAAAGTAATGGAAAATTACTGTTTTAATGTCAAATACAAATGTATTAAATATTTCTTCAAATTACTGGGAAAGTTTTTTAGTGTATTTGGAAAACCTATATTAATGTCTTTTGAAATTTACTTTGGAATGAGTAAATGATATTTAATGTAAAAAATAGTTTTCAAGGCAGCTGAATACATTTACCCTTTGCTTTAAAGATGATCTCAAGCTTTTTAGATCAGCAAGCCATCCTATTTGTGGACACTGCTGATCGCCTGGCCTCGTTAGCTAGAGATGCTCTGGTCCATGCACGCCTGCCTAGTTTTGCCATCCCATATGCCATTGATGTACTGACTACTGGCTCCTACCCACGGCTGCCAACTTGTATTAGGGTAAGTGCTTTGCCTGACTTCATAAAAGTTGAAGGCTTTGGTAAGTAAAATTGTGGAGTTAAAAATAATTTGGGTAGCCAGGCATGGTGGTGCACACCTGTAATCCCAGAACTTGGAGGCTGAGGCAGGAGGATTGCTGTGAGTTCAAGGCCAGCCTGGGCTACATAGTGAGTTCAAGACCAGCCTGAACTGCATAGTGAGACCCAATCTCCAACAAAAAATTTTCTTTTTTTGGTAAAAATAATTTGGGACCAGAATATGAGTAGTTATCAAAATGGGTGGATGGGGGGGTTGATGATGAGCAGATGGACAAACAATGTTCATTTATTATTGTGGCAGTGTAGTGAGTTGGTACTACACTATATTGTATGTGTGTGTTTTTCTTTTGGTACCAGGGATCAAACTCAGGACCTTGAGCTTGCCAGGCTGGTGCAGTGTCACTGAGCTAAATCCCTGGCCTGTATTGTGTTTTATACTTTTAAGAAGTAAGGGGATTCATCTAGTGATGTGAAGTTGATTTCATAAATGGAGCATGAAGAAGACCATGCTGTCTAATGGTCTTAGCTATGTGACTAGAGGAGTTATCGGCACTCTAATGCATGGTAGTAGTGGTCAGCTGTTTTGGATGTATGCTACGAAGTGAGTGTTGAGATTCTCTTGGGTAAAGTAAGAAAACATTATGTAAAGACAGGCCCAGGTAAAAACATGCCCTGGGCTGAGTGTATAGCTCAAGTGGCAGAGCACTTACCTACCTTCCTTGAGGCCCTGGATTTGATCTGCAAAAACAAACAACAAACGAAAAAAGCCTCTTTATATACTTTTTTTTTAACCCTGGTACTGGGAATTGAACCGAGGGCCTTCTATCCTCAGCTTGTTTTTTGAAGTGGCCTCAAAGTTGCTAAGTTGCCCAGGTTGGGCTTGAATTTGCAATCCTCCTGTCTCAGCCTCCCAGAGTGCTGAGATTACAGGCATGTGTACCACCATACCTGGCATATATACTTTTTATACATTATTTAAAAGTCATTTAAATTGTTTTGTAGGATAAAATTATTCCTCCAGATCCAATTACCAAAATTGAGAAACAAGCCACACTTCATCAACTTAATCAGATTCTTAGACATCGGCTTGTAACTACAGATCTTCCGCCTCAGCTGGCAAATCTTACAGTTGGTATGTACCTGAAATTTGTGTGTGTGTTTTTCCTAGCAGGGGAGGCGGATATGGGTCTTATTATATAGCCTAGTTGGTCTAGAACTCCTGGGCTCGAGTGATCCTCCTGCCTCAGCTGCTCAAGTAGCTGGGACTGCAGGCATGTGCCACTGCATGTGGCTGAAATCTCATTTTTAAAAGATTATTTTCTTAAATAGCTTTTGGGGTTTTATTCAGAGAAATATTCATTATGAAGTTTTGACCCACAGTTTTGGTGGTTTGAATCTGTGACTTGGCAGTTGTATCATTCTTTTAGTACCTAAAATACAGTGCTGGTATTTGAAGCTGGGGAGTGGTTGAAATCATCTGGGGGTAGAGCAGAAGAGTTCCCAGAGTTGAGCCTCCAGAAAATGCTGCTTGTTTATGTTGGAAGAGTTGCCTTTGGTTTCTTAATGACTCCATGCTAACTTCTGTTTATGCAGAAACCACTAAATTGTCTGAATACTAATGAAGAACCTTGGCTAGTTTAATTTTCTTATAAGCTAGACTGAAAGTTCTAGGTTAGCAGGAGAATGCTTTTTTTTAGTGAGGTACACTTTTTCTTTTAAAAGCAAATGGGCGTGTCAAGTTTCGAGTTGAAGGAGAATTTGAAGCCACCTTGACAGTGATGGGAGATGACCCTGATGTTCCATGGCGTCTTCTCAAGCTAGAAATTCTGGTTGAGGATAAGGAAACAGGAGGTAAATCATAAATACTGACTTAAATCATAGGTGTTGATTTAAATGTTTGGTATTTTTATATTATTGAAATATTTCTGTAGAATAATACATGTGTGTAGTAATTTATCCTGTAATTTGAGGCAAATTTTATGACAATATACTGTATCTGTTGACTATAGAAGTTTCAGTGTTTTTCAGAGCATAATATTCTCTAATTTCCATAGGTAATTTAAAAAATTGGTTGTTAGTATACAGTTACTTAGTTGTACTATGACATGACCTGTATACCTCTGCTAACTGCCTTCTTTTCTCCTGCCAATGGAAGATGGACGAGCTTTGGTTCATAGTATGCAAATCAACTTTATCCATCAGCTGGTGCAGTCGAGGCTCTTCGCTGATGAGAAACCTCTTCAGGACATGTACAACTGTCTACGTATCCTTCTGAAATTTGAGACATGCATTGTAAAGATTTTGTGTCTCCCTTAGTCCTAAACTATAGCAGCCTTACTCCCTGTTTGTTCTGGGTACAAAAAGGGCTGGGAAACAGACCAGTGTGAAGAATAGTGATACATCTATAGTAAAACAAATTTAAAATTTTATTTTTGGCTTTGTAGGCATTCCCCAAAAGTGATTAGTTTAATATAGTACTGCTTGGAGAAAAAAGAATACTTTTTGGTCAATCTATATTTTCTAAAGTATGATCAATTAAGGGGCAACCTGGACCTTATGGTTTGCTTGTATTGCTTCAAAATTAAATATAAAACCTTTTCTAAAATTGTATCTCATAGCTGGGCATGGTTGCACATGCCTGTAGTCTCAGCACTTGGGAGGTTGAGGCAGGAGAATCGCCAGGAGTTCGAGGTCAGCCTGGGCTACATAGTGAGTTCAAAAGCAGCCTAAACTACAAAGCAAGACCTTGTCTCAAAAACCTCCCCCTCATCACAAATTTTATCCCTTTTTGGGATGAATCATTGGAGAAATATTCCAGAAAATTCCTTCATAGACAGCTGTTTTTTGGTGGTACTATAGATTGAACACAGGGCCTCTGCTCTGAGCTATATCTTCAGTGTGTTCCTCCTTTCTTTTTTTTAAACTTTAAAAATTTTATATTGAGAAAGGATTTCCCTAAGCCCTGATCCTCCTGCCTCAGCCTTCCAAAGTACATAGCCAGCTTTTGAGAATAGATCCTCTGTTAAATGAAATTTGCCTGTACTTGACTGGCTGTTGGAGTAATATGTTATATTAAATTTTCTTAGCAAGATCTCTCAGATTCTTTCTGCTTATCACTTCAGTTAGAAGTGTTACACTCCCAGACTCTAATGTTAATCCGGGAGCGATGGGGAGACCTTGTGCAGGTAGAAAGGTATCACGCTGGAAAGTGCCTTTCCCTCTCTGTTTGGAAGTAAGTAAAATTGGTTCTGATAAGTTCATGCTGTGACTAAATACTCATGCTTTTTTTTTTTTTTTTTTGGTACTGGGGATCGAACTCGGGTCCTGGCACTTGTGAGGCAGGCGGCAGAACCACTGGGCTAAATCTCTGGCCCTACTCATGCCTTTTTGTTTTCTCCCTCTCATACATCTGATTTAATAGTTACCAGTAAGCGACATGCCGGTAGTGACATGGTTTTGTGTAGTAAAGACCCATGGCATTGTGTAGACCACCTGAGACATCTATAATTGACATCTTTCTTTGAACATTGCATGTTTTTAAATACATAGATGTTTATCTGTTTGTACTAAGACTTACTCTTATTTAAAAAGGTAGAGATTGGTTTATTCTGGGTCATTAGGTTAGATTGTTGAGTTTCACTGTTGGAAACGTGCTTGATTATCAGTTTTCTATTTTCAATTATACTTTCTAAGAACTTTGTTTTAGAGAAAATCTGTATCAGGCTGTTTATAGTCTCCAATTCCTGTTTGAATTTGGCTTGTTTCCCATTTTCTGTAAAGGAGTCAGGTGAATAGATAGCACCTAGAAGACAAGTTGTTCTGTTTTAGGATTGTTTATATGTGCATGTATCTTATTTTAAATTCTATGTCTATTTTTAAGAGCATTAAGTCAAATGTTGTATTAGATTACAGAATAGCTGTCTTCTCAGTATTAACATAATCTCCTGCAAACAATGAGGGCCTGCCAGATTCTAGGTTCTGGTTAAGATACACAATAGATTGTTTCTATTTTATTCCATAAGTTAACAAGCTATGTTGAAAAAAAATTGTTAATAGTTCTTTTTTCTTGTCAGTCAACAGATTCTTGGTAGAAAAACAGGGACAGCATCTGTTCACAAAGTTACAATTAAAATTGATGAGAATGATGTCTCCAAGCCTTTACAGATTTTTCATGATCCTCCTTTGCCAGCTTCTGATTCCAAATTAGTAGAAAGAGCCATGAAGGTAAAAGTTTTCAGTATATTTTAATATTGGTTAAGTGAATATAATTTTATACTTAAACTTTAGACAAATTCTTTAAAATACCTAATAGTTCCTAAAATCCTGTATGAAATTTGTTTTAAGTGTTACACTTCTGCAGTTGTTGTTGTTGTTTTTTAAAATATCTGGTACTATACTGCATAATTTAATTAATTAATTAGGTTTTTTGAGACAGGGTCTCACTGTGTAGTTCAGGCTGGGCTTGAACTCACTATATCGCCCAGGCTGGCCTTGAACTCACAGTGATCCTCCTGCCTCAGTTTCCAGAGTGCTGGGATTATAGGCATGCACCACCGAGCCTGGCATTATAATGCATAATTTTAAAGATGTTCTTTTTCTTTTTTGGGGGGGGAATTGAACTAAGGGGCTTGAACTCAGCACATGCTCTGCCACTGAACTATGACACCAGACCATCATTTTATATTTAAGGTCAGACATTTAAACACTATATAATTGGTGTATATATAGTATTTTGATCTATATTCATGAAAATACTAGCTATAAGCTGGGCACGATGGCTTACGCCTGCAATTCCAGCTGCTCAGGGGCTGAGGTAGGAGGACCACAAGTTTGAGGCCAGCCTGGGTAGCTTAGTGAGACCGTGTCTCAAAATTAAAATGGGATGGGGAAGTAGATGAGCGGTCTTGCCTGGCATGTGCAAGGCTTTGTGGGTTCAGCCCCCAGCCTTTAAAACAAAAACTAAAACACTAGTTTTTAAGGTTCCACTGCCATACAAGTTAATTTTAACTCAATTCCATATAAATTAATTTTTTTTTTTTTTGGTACTGGGGATTGAACTCCGGTCCTTGCGCTTGTGCAGCAGGCAGCAAAACCACTGAGCTAAATCCCCGGCCCCATATAAGTTAATTTTTAACTTTATCTAAGTTTATTTTTCCTTAACATTTAGTGTGATTCTAAAAGGAAGTAAGTATCTTGAAGCACCAGTAATCTACTCTCAGACTTTAAAAGTAAAAATGACTCAACTGCACATATGATTTTATTCTTGTTCACGCAGATTGACCACTTATCAATAGAAAAACTCCTGATTGACAGTGTCCATGCAAGAGCTCATCAGAAGCTCCAGGAACTGAAGGCCATTCTTAAAGGCTTCAATGCCAATGAAAACTGTAGGTGTTTTAAATTGACATTTTTGTTTTTGTTTTCTTTAATATTCACATTTGTTTTATGAAGGGTTTTTCTTACTGTGACTTCTTTCCTGATACTGGTTTTCTTGTGTAGGCTGGGCATTTCCCACATTTTAACTTGTATTCTACTTCTTAATTTTTTTCTTATTTTCTTACTTATTTAGCTTGGTCTTGTTTTTGAAATGTTTGTATATTGTCTCTCCTTAAGAATTTTTCCCCTATTGAAATGGAACTATTTTAACATGAATCTTAAATTTCTTTGAGTTTTTCTTGCAGTGATAAAGCAGCACTGCAGATATTTATAACATTTTAATAAAATCTGACTGAGTAGAGCAAAACATTCTTTATCTTTAAATTTTTTAAATTAATATACTAATAAGGTTCAATATAAGAAATGCAGGTGTAGATACATGGGGAAAAATCTTCCAAGTTTAATACCTGCCAAGTCTATCCAGAGCTTTCAGGAGAAGTTTTGCAGATTTTGTAGAGATGTTACCATCTGGGTAGCCAGAAGATCTGAGTTCAGCTGTGAACTCCTGAATAAGCCATTTACACACTTTGGGCCCTATTCTCCAACTGTAGTGTGAAGATTTTTTAGTCCAGGCTCTTCCTAGATCTCTGACTCTAGTATGAGTGCTACAGCAGTGGTTTTTCAGCTGAAGGTGTTTATAGTATCTTTCCTAGTTGTTAGAAAAGAGTGTTTCCAGGACAGTGACTTGAAGGTAAGGGAGAAGCTTGCATGTGGGGTTGGTCCCTCTTTAACCAGGGCATTCTGGAAATGAGAATGGCTAGAGGAAAGGGTCTGCTGATCCATCATTTTACTTGTTTTTTTTTTGGTACCAGAGATCGAATTCAGGACTTTGCGCTTTCGACGCAGGCGTGGTGCCACTATAAATCCCCGGCCCCATTTTACTTGTTTTTAAAATTATTGTTCATTTTTTATTTTATTCATGTAATTTTTTTTTTTTTTAGAGATGGTCTTGCTATGTAGTCCAGGCTGGCCTCAAATGAGATCTTCCTGCCTCAGTCCCACCAAGTGCTGGGATGACAGGCATGTGCCACCGAACCTGGCTTCATGTAGTCTTATTTGATCTCTTTTTTATGATGGGAAAGAATGCTTTTGTAAGATCCTTTCCTGAGACCAGGGGCTGTAGTCTTCTTTGGTGTCCTTTAGTACAGTTGTTCTCAATCACCTGGGTTTTTTTCTCTCTTAGTTATTTTTCTCTCATTGCTGAGACAAAATACCAGACATCTGAAGTTAAAGGGGAAAGGTTTATTTAGCTCCCAGTTTGTAGAGGTTTCAGTCCTTAATTGGCGGGCTCCAAGGCAGAGTGACACATGGCAGAGGGGTAGCAGTTCATGGCGGCAGCAGAAGACAGCAAAAGCAACAAGAGACCTTAACAGCGTCTTCCTGCCCCTTTTATCTTATTCAGATGATTTAGGGCGGGTAGCACTCATGCCCTGAATCCTAGTGCTCTCAGGCCTAGCATTGCACTATGAGTCACGCGCTAGATTCAGCCACCTCCAAAATAGCCCCACCTCATCTGCATGAGGCTTTGGGGGGACAGCTAAACACAAGCCATAACATCCTTCCAACGCCTAACTGGAATAACCTGACGAAATGAATAGTGTAGAGATTGGAGCATTTCAAGAGATGGCTAGGTAAATGCACAATTCTAGGTGTTGGACAATGCAGATGGCAGTGTGTGGTTTCCTGGGGGTAAAAATGGCTCAGAAGAAGCAGCATGGGACGCTGGTGAGATCAAAATAGACATTGCAGCCGGGGATTTAGCTCAGTGGTTCCGCCGCCTGCCTCGCAAGCACAAGGTCCCAAGTTCGATCCCCGGTACCAAAAAAAAAATAGACATTGCAAGGCAGTAGAGGTAATGAGATACAATAGGGCTCAGCTCATAGCATTGACTGACTTTTAGAAGCCAGAATGGGCTTCCTTGTGTTGACTTTACTTGGCAGAACCGGCATCAGAGCATTGTGGTCAGTCTGGAAGCTGCGGACCACACATAGCCATTCTTAACTGGGCTTAGTTGCTTCTGTTCATTTTCTGTAGAGAAGAATAAGAACATTGGCAGTCATAAAATTTATTTGTAGAAGGGCCGGGGATTTAGCTCAGTGGTTCTGGCACCTGCCTCGCAAGTGCAAGGTCCCGAGTTCGATCCCCGGTACAAAAAAAAAATATATATATATATATATATATA